TACCTAAAACTAACACGTAAGTCTTAAAGTATCTTAGTATCCTAGTATTTGCCACGAACTCCAAAAAGGAATGTAGCTATGGTGGCGTGGAAGACAGTTTATTTACTAAATGCTTCTTCAGCGAAACAAAATGCAAAAGTTGTGTGTTATAGCAATGCTATTCCCAGGTATTATTTGACATTTGATTTGGAAGGAAGTATATTTTAGCATACATCTCGTATATATGCAATACCCGTACACATTTATGTAAGTATATTGTATTGTACACTGATGGGATGCAGGTGTAGATAAAGCTATTTTGACACATAATGCATAAAAGTCGAGCGCAAAATATGAAATATAAGTTATTTGGTAATCAAATAGATAGACAAAAACAATACATTGTGAACAAATATTCTTACTTTAATGAAAAAGTTTGATAATAAAGCAATTGTTATTACCATCAAAGTTTTAATAACACTTATGTATTATGAAGTATAGGTAAAGGTAACTTCATTCACTAACTTCACCTTTTTTGACTTTTATTATTATTTTTGACAATTGTAGAAAAAAGAAAAACACATGCCAAGTTCAATTCACATTAGTACTAAAACTTTAAGTTAATTAACCCGAAAATAATTGTGAAATTTTGTTGAAGAGAGCAACATTTTTAATTCACATATTGGATATATAGTAAAAAAAATTTGGGAAGTAAGAACCTGAAACGAATCGAAATTTTCGAGACAACGCAGAACTGTGACTTAGCAGTTTTTACTCCTTTTAACTCTTTCTACTTCTCTTAAATGTAACCCCACAAATTATTATTAACAATTTAGAGTAATTATAAAATATACTATATATGCATAAATTGACCCACGGATGTTCGTAAACTGAACATAACTAGAGAATCTAGGAAATCTTACAGCATTTTTTTTATTACTGTCCAATCCTCTTAACAACTTGAGATAAGGTCTTTGGAGCCACCAGTTTTAATGGGATCGTCCCTGACATTGGAGTGCACTATCTCATAAAATGCGGTTATAACTTTATTTAAGCACTATTATTGAGAATGGCTACAAACCTATTAGATGTATGCGTGGTCTTAGTCAGCCGGCACTATCTACCTACATATTATATATATTGAATAAAATGAATATTTTATGATTCAGTTCGTATTCGAATTTTGCAAACTTCATGAAGAATTCACTCATTATTTTAGTGGTGCAGTTGTTCATGAAATTTTTTTGAACTGTTTTTAATTTATAAAACTATCTTAAATATTTTTATACTAATTTTCAGAACCTTAGTAAGATACGTTCTAGTAGAATGAAAACAAACTGAGAGAAGAAGAATTTTTCTGCAGGTCACAGTTGTGACCCAATTTGATCACTAAAGTTTAATAAGTTCAATGCCTACTTTATATCGTTCTCACCCAACACCACCTGCAGTATAATTTATGTTCAATTATTTTGCTATTTGTTTAGTTTAAAACGTTTACAATCGACAAATGGGGGTCTTAATAAAAGAAAATTCGACGGAGGAGAACAATCTTTGATGTTCGAAATTTACTCGAAATTTTGATGGATTTCTTATATTACTAAAAAATTTCGTGCTTTATTGTTGGAGTAAATGGAATTATTTGGCTAAGTCCATAAAAAACAAAAATCAGTTCCATATGCTCTAACGATTTTCACCTTAATTAAATAGTCTTTCAAATACCCATAAGTGCTTTTACGAGTACAGAATTGAGAATATCATAGAAAATTTTAAGAATGCGAAGGCATCAAAAAAAATAAAAACTCAGAAATAGAGTAATTTATATAGAAAATTTTTTTGAAATTCTCATTATAGCGATAATTGAAGCCCGTAATACCAATAGGACTCAAACCTAACATGAGCAAGAAGAACTTTGCAAATATATCAAAACTTGAGCTAATTTCAATAAAACTTATGGACAAACTTCAACTCGGCACTGTAGTTCTACACATTGCCTACGGAAGTAAAACTAAAAACATAAAATAAAACTAGAAACTATTAAAAAAAATAATAAAATAAAAAAAAACGTGAAAAATAAAATAAAATGAAAATTGCAAAAAAAGATGTAAATGCATTGAAAAGTTTTTTACATTATTTCCTTCTTTTTCTTAGAAAATGTAAGGGTTCTGAAGTAAAAAAGTACTTGAAAACTTCAGTGAGAGTATTAACTATATGGAGCTGAGTAAGAAGTTTAAGTTTATAAGAGGAACGTGGTTGCCACTTTTATTTTTTTATCTCTCACTGAATTTCAAATCTTCACTAGCAAAAAAGCAATACGCCTGGATACGTACTCAATTACTTTTCAATATACATTAGCGATATAATGTATTCTACACCAGGACATTATTAAGAACGCAACTTTGTGTAACTTTTTATCATCTGTCCTTATTGTATCATTGAATTATATTTTTTTTAATAGAACTTCATCATTTCCTTTTTTTGTAAATATTTTTTACACATTGGAGTTAACTTAACATAAACTTTTGAAATAAAGTTCGTTTATTTGTAAGATATTATGAATTATATTGAAAACACATGTAAGTATGCCATATATGTAAATATTAGCTCTGTTCCACGAGCTACTCGTAGTAAAACGCAAGTAAAACACAAGTAAAGTACAAACTCTTTACACAGCGCAGCTTTGTGTGAAATCTGGTGAGAACACCAGTGCCGCGGATATAAACAATACATAAATTTAAATTCAAACCAAAACAGCTGATTCACACATCAACATAAATTTTACTTGAAATAAAATGTACAAGTAAAGTCTGTGTAACATTTTCAAATTTCGACAGGGATGTTACGTTGTTTTTGATGCTCTCATTTGCTCAAAAATGTACTGGTGGAACGCGCTTGTGTATACACAATGTTACTCAAAATTACTACAAATAGCTTGTGGAACAGACCTATTATGTATATTATATACACTCATTACGTGATTCTCTGCGATAGATTAGATTAGATTTTAAACGAGTTAAGAACTTGCCATCATGTCTCTGCGTCCTTTGAGTATTATTGTGATACACTCACTTTAGTTCCATAGATGAGTAGCAGTTAAGAACGCCATTATGTCCATTAGAAAGATGTTGTCTAATTCCATTATAAGTGGATAGGTAATTGATAAGTACCGAAGTCTGAATCTGGCGAGACTATTATAGACACAGATTGTGTTCAACACCTGCAACACGGTGTCGTCTCTATTAATACCTAGATTCGATAGATGTTTTTTTACATCGCAATGCTTAATGAGAAATCCTGTGACAAGTCGGATGCCACTTGTGTTCAGTATTAGTAGCTGCCTAGTTCTGGCTTTTGTTCAATTCGACCTGTATTTCTTAGCTTGTGTTATCCAAATCAGTCCGAGTTGCTCTTTTCAGCCACTCTTTAATTTTAAGTCTGTTTTCGATATATTCAGACATCTCGTCATAAGTCTTGATTTTCTCCCGTACGTATGTTTTCATTCTTAATGCTCGAAATAACATTTCAACAGACAAGAAATATGGTTTGCTTTTCTCAAACAGATAAACTATTAATCAATGCTTTATATTTTTCCAAACTTTTGAAAAACTACAAAATAAAGCGAAACAATGAGACTTTATTAATTGATACCCAGTTAGCTTTTTTGGGGATTAACACAAAGACAGAATAGTCTCTCTGAAAATGTCAGAGTATAGCAAGATTTTGACATTCTATTTTAAAAGTCTACAAGCAAATAAGCCCGGTATACACATAAAACGAAGATCTTCATAAAATAATCATCTTATAACACATTCACACTATCTCATTTAGGCTCATAATAGCCACTAATGAGGATGATTTACCATACAAAAAGCTTTTTATCTATAAATCAGCTCATTTAAGGCATAAAATGACGACACCTGAAATATGTGTCAAATGTTTTATATGTAAAATGTCAATAAACAACAGCTGAGCGGTAAATAAGGGCACTGAAGAAGTAAGTATTTAATAAAATCTCTTTTTTTATTAATGAAATATGTAATAATATTTTAAAAATATATACAAATAAGTGATGAAATATATTAATTTTATATTAAATTTTTTGTGTGATATATTATTGAGAAGAATTTTACCAAAGAAACAAAAGCCCTCTTTAAACTTTCAAGATTATATCTACAATAAATGTTTCAAAATAGTAGACGGAATTGAAATATATTAGAATGATGAAGAAAAACATCCGTAAAAATCCAATAACGACTTAAGGTAAAAAATAAAAGCTGCTATATATATATATAAATTATTATACGTTTTAATTTTAAAATTATGTGGTACAAGCAAAAAGTAAATAAGTAAAAAACCATATCTACACCCCTTCTTTCCCATATATAAATAGGTCCGATCGTTAAAAGCTAGCAACTTCGTACAACTGCTCATATGTAAGTCTTAAGATGAATTTGTGATTCCTTACAATAGGCAGATGGTTCATTACTAGTTTTATAAATAGTTATAAAAGAAATGAAAAACCATCTAAACGGCACAAGATCTGTTGGAGTTAAACATATACTGAGTTTAGACGGTTTAGTAAGAATACCTGCTAATGGATTAGCAAAACAAACTTTTGTTAGAGTACCTATCAGTGCATCTGTCCATCAGTCCATCATTGCATCAGTCCATCAGTGAAATATTACGGAAGCATCCAAATGAAAAGTACAATAGTTTGTTTCTCTTTACATCGACTTAACATACTAGGAATACAAGAGTTCTATAATATATGAAAACATCATATCACTACTTTGGTGTTTTTATTAAAACATATAATTTATTGAGTTTTTAATAAAGATATTTTCAATATAAGTAAAGTAATAATTCGAATTTAAAAACATTTGACTTTAAATGATAAAAACTACATGTTTTAATGAAAGTGCGAAAAAGTCATTTCTTATATAGAAAAGTGAAATTCTTACAATCTAGTTAACTGGAATATTTTTGAATTTTTAAGATATGAATAAGTTTCAGAAAAGTTTTTATTTCAATATTGTTTTTTGCTCTTAGTTCTCAGAAAAGTTCAAATTGAGAGTGTTGAGAAAGCGACTTCATATATTTTTTTACAAGATACTTTTAAGATAATTTTACAAAATTATTTGCAAAAATATTCTAAGATAAATCGTAATCGTGTTGTGTCAAGTATAAGCCATGGGTGAATTTAATGGGACCATTATTATGACTGTTCTCAAGCAACTAGGTGATAAGGCACCAATGGGTCAATTGATTAAAAAAGTTGCTGATGCTTTGAAGGTAAGTACATTCCATAAGTTCTTTCATAACGGATATCCGGTGATTTTTTGAATTTTTTACAAAAAATTCTAACAAAATAAAATATTTCTTATCCATGTTTTGTTACTTATAAGGTCTGGATATTCTGGTATAATATATAAGTTACAAAAGTTCCATTTAATAAGTTTTTCCTGACAATTGGATAGAAGATACAAACTTATTACTACGTGAAAGAAATCAATATCTACTTCTTAAATACGATATCGATAAAATGTCTTTCAAATTATTTATTCCGGATATTTTGTACGTACATCCACTAAGCGAATAAGTGAAGTTGTTTCTTTTGAGAGGTCCCCTGTTGTTAGCTAACGTCATTTCATTAACTTTAATCAAATCCCGAATTTATCATACAATATAATTTTTCAAAGTATTAGTTTTGGTTCTATATACACAAAAATAAGTTAGTTATTAAGTTAAGTTATCAAAAAGTTAAAATGTTTTTTCAAAATTTAGTAGGTTTCAAGCTTCTTTAAAGGGGTCAGCTTTTTCTTGCAAAGCGTTTTCAATGTTTGTAAGAGCACAGTCACCCACAACTAAACAAGTATTCTCTTCGCTTACAAAAGTATTTTCCATATTTGTTTCAAAAACAGGCTTCAATGTTTGTCCAAAAGGATTACCCATTCTTTCAGAAGTATTTGCGCTTTTTAACTTCTTAGCAATTTGGTCTGCGCCTAGCTCAATGTTTTCCTCACTCTCGACTTCATTTCCTGTATCCTTTTTATAATAAAGCTCCAAGACTTTTGACGCAATATACTCACCTATACCAATATAGTCAATGTTGTTGGTACAAATATTATTAGACGGAGTAATGGTGAGTTTAGGCATATGGTCAGATGCCATTACATTGGTGTTACTTTCAACTTTGTCATGTCTAACTTTTTCTGCAACAACAAATACAATTGTTCTAAACATATAACATATTCAAAATATTTCTTTTATTTCATTTTTCTTACTTTGTTTTCTCTTTTCCCAAATTTGTTTCCATTTCTCTGGCATCTGGCTCACATTAGCTTCGTTCCCTGGTGTTTCATCACTACATTCATCTTCAGTTTCATTATCTTTCTTCATTTCTTGGAGACATTGTGATTGAACAATTATTGTAAAAAGCTCAGATTATTAATTGTTAAATGTTAATTAATATTACATACCTTGGTTTGTAAATAAATCTTCTATTTGATCAACAATCAAGTGTATTATGGAACAAGTCTCACCCACAGTTCTTTTTGGTTTCGGATCTGTTTGCGTACTGTTATCGATGCTACGAGAAACATTTGTCTGTTCGGTATCCATACTAGACGTTTCATCATCCATACTTGGCGGCATTAATTCTTCCGCGTCATTAGTAGGAGTTGCTGAGCTTATAACTTTCAAGTACTCATCGAACGTCAAGAATTCTTGTTCTGGATACAGATCTGGATCTGGAAAGAGTTCTGCATCTGGAAACAGATCTGGATCTGGAAACAGATCTGGATCTGGAAACAAATCTGAATCTGGAAACTGATCTGCATCTGGAAGCAGATCTGGATCTGGATACAGATCTGCATCTGGAAACATATCTGGAAACTGAACACCTACATTATGTGATGGAATCAAATCACGTGTGCTGGTACCTCTTGTCATACGATTTTGTGCTTCGTGTCCACATTTTAAACACTTTTTGGATTTCAATTTATCTCTTAAAGTAGTTATTTCGTTTCCATAAATCGATAACGTCTTATATAAAACAACAATTTCCCTTTTAAGATTTATTATCGTAGGATCGTTTGCGACGGGCGCCAGTTCCATTATGTTTTGTTTTCCGTCTGAAAAAGTTTCTATATTACAAAAAACTATTTAACTTCAAAATCATTATAATAATATTAATTCTAAACAATTAAACACTTGAACACTTCATTATATTTTCTAATAATTTACCTCAGCAAATTTCGCTCCTAACCTTTACCGATGGAGATCCCGTTATAAAAGAATATGAAACACAAGTTGCCAATTTCGTCACACTGGTTTCAAAAGTTTTACAGACTCTTATGTCGACTTTGGCGGTCAATCATGCTGTATGCTTATATGCATCATTCTAGCTCGTTTGTTTATTCCTTATACCAAAGAAGATAAAGAAAAGAAACTGAGCGGAAATTTTGAATAATTGTGCCTCTTTGTGTAATATCGGAAAAAAATCTCTCTTACTTATTCACCATACCAGAATCGTCAAATATTAAAATCGGTGTGGTTTATAACCTAAATGTTTAATACTCTTATGGTAACATATTAGCATGTCGCCATTTCTTCTAATAAGAAGAAATAGCATAAATTATTGTTATTGGAAAATCCATTGTGTATATTAATTTATTAATTTATAAATTTCATTATAATAAAATTTTAAATTTGCTTTATAAATCAAATGTAAAGAAAAAACAAGTCAACTAAAATCAGTAGTGCCTTAATTATTATTGATATATGCAAATATATATAATTAGTCATAAAAGTGTTTTGACGAAGTGTAAAAATTGTGTAATATTTGTTAAAAAAAATAATTTTTTATCATTCATATATATTTATATACATATGTTATATGCTGCTTAAAAAATACATTTATAGCAAAAGTTAGCATCTATTAGAGAAGTTAGTACGTGTACATATATATCAAGTTTAAGATTATATTATATTAATCTTCTGTTTTGAAACGATTAATATTAATATAATTTTTTAACATACAAACATTTTTGCAAATAATAATACACAAAAAAATATTTTAGATATAGAAAATCGTAAAAATTTATATACTCCTCTTTACTACTGCATATTTTTTTGTAGTTTTAAGAAATCCTTTCATTAAAATTTAAGAAATTCTTAAGTAGTTAATAAAAACATTGTAAAGAATGGGGATCAATTTAATCGCGTGAAATCCGTAGTGTCAGAAATTATATGGAATACATGAGGATTTTCCGTCACACCTCAGAAGTATACTTGCTGTTGCGTCCCCGAGCTTTAGGTATTCAATTCCCCGATAGACTTAACCACCAAAATATTTTATTTAAGAAAAATACAATTTTAAAAAAAAAACATAAATACATACATATAATTCTTAATGGTATGCACTTTATTTGAAAAAAAGAACCACAAATTGTATAATTTGTTAAAAATATAATTAACATAATTATATATATATATATATATATCAATAACAACACACAACCAAAGTATGTGTGAATATTAATATTGCTTCAGAATTTTTCCGTCTTCATAATTATTATATTTTGGAAAAAAGTTAAATATAATATTCTAATCACTTTATTATACTACTTTCAAAGGACCAAAATAATAACTAACATGCACAATTAATGAATTAATTAAAAATAATTAGTAGTTTATTATATACATATGTATATATCAAATTAAGTTCTAATATGTTAATATATTCAGATATTCCCTTTTTTCTATAACAATAAATTTTATTATTTTAAGTTAATTATTTAACTTCGATAATTCTTCGTTTCATCTGTAAAAAAATGTCAATTAATAATTTATATATTTTTGTAAAATAATAACCTTTTTTATTGCTTTTATAATTAAAATTCAAGTCCGCCTTTTTTTTGTTAGTATGTAATTTGTACACCTCTTTGCAACTATGGTGCATTTAATCGAAACGGATTTTCAATGTAATGTAATGTTGAGCCTTTTCCGAGCTAGTCCATCTGGGCACTTTTATTCTTTCATAGCTGGGGAGTTTCTGCAGAGTCCAAAACAATGTCAAAAAACCAAAACAAAACCACAAAATTTCTAAGAAAGTGCTCTTATATAGCAAATATCGTGGTGAGTTGGGACTGGGTGGGGAAAATAATCACGCACCATTGTATAGCATTTGGCTTTTTGATTTTGTACTGCGTCACATTTTCACCTCATTACACAAAAGTTTGTATATTATTTGAATAATCCAGAAAATTTAATACACAATTTTTAGTATAACACTTAGTTTCTTTTCTTTATCTTCTTTGGTTTATACAGACCAATAATAATTTTTATTGCTCGGAGGGTACATTGATTAAACTTTTGGCTGCCAACACAAGTGATTCTGTGACGTGATATCAAATTAAAATTTGATTTTTAATTTAATTATTTATTTCTGTCTGTTTCTTATTTCTATATTTTCCCAAAAAAATTATCAGACGTGATATATTTAAAATTTGATCGTTGAATGTAGGTAATTCTGATAATTTTTCGGCATTCGCAAAACGACAACCGATTCTTCTTGCGTTTAGAATTTGATATGTTTGAAAAGATAAATAAATATAAAATATAAATTTGCATAAAAAATCCACTATTATTGTAATTTTATTGGCTTTGCAAAAATAAAATTTAGCTTTCAAAGATTCTGGAGCTCTAATATAAGTTTCTTCGAAGTGCCTAGATCTGGAAAGATCTATATCTATAAAGAGCCATATATCACAACAGAAGTTTACGAACCAATAAACGAGATAAATGGAATTTTATGATTGTCAATAATAATACTATATTCAGACAGACCTTAATTTCGCAAAAATCTTAATTTCATTTTCATTTCAACGAAATTAAAGTGTTTTTCTATATAAAATTCAATATTAACGTTTGAACGAAATTAATGAAAATGTCCTTAATTTTGTTGCATCGAAGCCTGAAATTAAGGAAAATTTCATATACAACAATGCGAAAGATAAATTTTAAGCAAAAGATAAGTTGAGATAACGAAAAAGTGATATTTATTTTTAGAAACAGCTGACTTTAATAACACCGGAAAAATATTTTGAAAGTAGTGTAAATTTTAGAAATTTAGTTAAACTAACATAAGTTAAATAATTTTTTAAATAAAAAATAATCATCTTATTTTAGTTTTAGTAATATATAAAACCCTAGAAATTTAGTTGAACTTAATAAATTTTTTAATTAATAAATAATTATATAT